AAGTAGTGGCCCGGTATGGAGCAGGTTATCATGCTTGGGAGATTCGCAAGCCAGAATATTACAACTGGTTAAAGGTGAGTGGCCCAAGTGTCTCCAGATCGATCTAACAGGTTAGTGGTTCTATGCCAGTACGGTTGTCTATATCCCAGCTGCCTTTTTCACCAAAGCGACCATTCTACTTCTGATGGCACGAGTTTTTGCTGTTGAACCACGAGTCGCAAAAGGAATCAAGATCTTGATTTGGGCTTTACTGGTGGCATACATTCCGATTCAAATACTCCGAATTGTCACCTGTTATCCCATTCGGACATATTGGGACCCAGATGTCAGAAACGCACGATGCCTTAACCAGCGAAAGATCTTCTTTTCAGATCTATCGCTATCGATCGTTACCGATTTGGTCATTCTGTTGATCCCGATACCTTTGACTTGCAAACTCCGAATGTCAATAGGAAAAAGGATCAAGATTGTCTTGCTCTTGGGGGCCGGTGGAATCGCTACAGCCTTGACACTCTTCCGTGTTGCCAAAGCGGTAGACTTTTTGAACTCGGATGATATCACTGTCGATTATACCCCGATTGGTATTCTAACGTATGTCTGTCAACCCGATAATGCTTGTCTAACGATTGCAGGGCTCTCGAGATTACTATCGGCTTCGTCTGCGCCTGTCTTCCATCTCTGAACCTCCTGATCGAGCATCATGTCCGTAAACGTCGACGAGCACGAAACCCGAATTGGCCACGCGATCGAACACGGACCTCTTTGTTCAAGAAGCGCTTCAGATGGATTAGTTCGTCCACAGAACACATGCCCTCTCGACCGAACCGGCCTTCAGATGGAATGATTGACCTGGACGTGGAAATGGCCATGTTGACAGGTCAGCCTGTAAGATTACGAACGGGAAGAACAGCCAGTGCAGGATCCCACGACATCCGACCACTTGATCATCGAATTGATTCTGGCGACGGACGAAGAGAGGGATGGCTGTCTCAAGATCAGGATAAACAAGGCGAGGTACAGGACAGCAAATTCATCATGCGAATGGTGGAGGAATCAAGAGCCAGGGCCGACGAAGGGGCTAAAGAATCATGGTGTCCAGTCTGGGATGGACCGAGGGATCCCATGGCAAGTCAAGGAAGTTGGAAGTTTAGCGTGCGGTCACATTAGAGCATAGAGCGTATACCCAGGTGTGTAAAATAGAATTGGTCATGATAATGAGAGCTTCCATCCAAATTTGTGGATAATCTCCCTCCAGTCTTGGTTTGTACTCGATACTTGAAGATCCCTTGTATGCCAGATCAGCTTAAGTGCATTCCAAACAGCAGATATGTTGCTGATCGGCCATTTACTATCCATCAACATGAAGTGATCTAACACAACCTTTCGTTGCGCATCCGATGAGCATGCACAGCCTGCCAAGAACAGTGGCCACATTGGGAATGATCTTCGAGTCTGTCCTTCAACGATAATATCGGAAAGACAAGAAAGAAGAGATTCGTGGAGTGCCAGGATGGATGGGTGGGTGATGGCTGTGTTGTAGCATACGAGGCGGAGGTAGATCTGGGCTGCAATTCTAAACGACTCGGCGCTCCGTAAGAGGTAGTCGTCTGTGCCTTGAAAAGAGAGGTCCTCGAGTCGTTGTTCGATTTCCTGGCCTGTTGTGTACAGTTGATCCTTGGAAATGTCGTGGGTAGACAGTGACGATATTTCGTTGATGATGTCGACGAGATCCATTGAGCAACCAATCTGTTCATCAACCAGATTTCGAGAATGCGGGAGTGTAGCTTCAGCTTTGGCCAGCCCAGCCATTGCTTGGTGTAACGAGTCCTGGTGGGTAGGTTGTGTAGTCTCCATCAAGATATATCGAAACCGGAAATACTGGAGTACGAATTCGGCCACATTAGGGTCAATACTGTTTCCGAAACTCTCAAGTAGAGCGAGTGCGCCTTGGAGGTGACGGAGCCATGTCGGACACGATCCATGTGCGATTTCGAGAGATGCCAAAAGAACACAGGTGAGAAGATTGCCCTCACTGCCTTGGGAATCTGGAAGAGCGTGCTGTAGTTCATGGAGAGCTCGGACTTTGTACTGCATTGACAAGGCGCGGTAGTCTCTTCCACCTGGGACAATGTTTTGTGCCCATTCTGCTGCGCTCATGGCTAGGACTGCGGAGAACAGAGGACCTTGGTAGAACATTCGTGGGATGACTGATGTACGGAAGCCATTCCGACTTGTATCCACGTAGACTCTGCTCCTAGATATTATTTCGACATCTAATATGTTAGCGGCGACAACTCGTGGTGGAAATACTTACAGTACTGTACGAGAGCTTTCTCAACTGAACGTCCCGACTCAAAAGCAAACGGTGGTAAACTGCGGGGAACAGATTCCTGTGTCCAAACAATCCTTCCTTCACTCGAGTTACAAATGGCGACGAGTTCTTGAGGTGAGAGATTCAGAAAGCTGTAACTCTGGCTATCACTCGGCACCAGATAATGATCATTTGAAGCTGCCACGATGAACCTTAACGGATTCGATGCTGAAGCTGGACTCGGAAAGATACAGTCATCTCCGGTTCTTTGACACCTCCGACATGTTGGTTTCTCCTCGTCACATCTTCGCTTCCGTCTTCGACAGTTGAAGCAGCCATCTCGGCTCCGAGAGCCACCTGACATGATGCATTGCAGTTGATGTTAGTTGAGTTGTCGACGGTGGGGAACGGATGGACTTCCGATCAACGCCACGTGACGGCCGAGTTGACATGCATTAGTTTCATCGATTCTATAAATTATATTACACCTTGGTATCTTAGGTTTCTGATTATTTATCAGATCTGACGTCGAATACTTGATTCAACAGTGGATTCTTGTTACCCTGCAGCCACAGCGGAGACGGATATTAAACGGCCATACCAATGCATCATGACGATCAGACTGACAGTTCTCTACGGATATATAGTCCAGATATCCACGCCGCATTATTCAATAGAATTCTCAATACAGCATATTTCCCTCAAATTTACTTAACACCAACTCAATGCTTCCATGGCCACATCCCGACGCATCTCCGATAGTGGAGGGTTAGCCCGCAGTGGGGTTCTCGGAGTCATACTCGGTCGACATACGGAGGCTAACAAGATACGTCGCAATTCTTCTCACTTACACCAAATTCTCTCCCGTCAATTCAACGCCGTCCATAGCCTTCAACATGGCTAATGATCACATCCTCACCCTGTCATGCCCTGACAAGTCCGGCATCGTCTATGCCGTGACTGGCATCTTTGCCGCCAACAAGCACAACATTCTCGACCTCCAGCAGTTCTCCGATCCCGTCTCCGAGCGCTTCTTCATGCGTGTTCACTTTGGACCTACCGAGACCGAGTCCACCGAGCACCTCGTCGAGGCTTTCGACAAGCTCGCTGCCGAGTACAAGATGGACTACGATATCCGCCCCGTCGCCCGCAAGACCCGTGTTCTCATCATGGTCTCCAAGATCGGCCACTGTCTGAACGACCTCCTCTTCCGCATGAAGACCGGCCAGCTGCGCATGGAAGTCCCCGTCATCGTGTCAAACCACCCCGACTACGCCGCCCTCGCCGAGAGCTACGGAATCGAGTTCCACCATCTGCCCGTCACAAAAGACACCAAGGCGCAACAAGAAGGCCAGATCCTCGATCTCTGCAAGAAGCACGGCATTGAGCTCATCGTCCTCGCCCGCTACATGCAGGTTTTGTCTCCAACGCTCTGCGAAGCCATGTCTGGCCGCATCATCAACATCCACCACAGTTTCCTGCCCTCATTCAAGGGCGCCAAGCCTTACCACCAAGCCTACGAGCGCGGTGTCAAGATTATCGGAGCGACTGCTCACTTTGTCACTGCTGATCTGGACGAGGGTCCTATTATTGAGCAGCGGGTTGCTCGTGTTGATCACAGCATGAATCCTAAGGAGTTGTCTGAGGAGGGATCTAATGTTGAGAGCCAAGTTCTTGCTGCTGCTGTGCGGTGGTATGCTGAGAGGAGATTGTTCCTCAATGGACACAAGACTGTAGTCTTTAATTAATAAAAGTTTGATTTGACTGTACAATCTTCTATGCCAAACTCTCGTGATGCGCATGCTTTGAAGTGTCTACCCAAGCCCTTCCCCAGACTGCGACCTGTATGGAGTGATAGCGAACGACGGATCACCAATCCCCGAATAGCTCAGCTGGAAGAGCGTTCGGCTGTAACTGATATATCACACCGAAAGGTCACTTGTTCGATCCAGGTTTCGGGGATTTCTTTTGCTGGTTGTGGCATTTGCATGTTGTCAATGAGTACATCATGACAACTCTACTTTTTGGTGTGCCACAAGATGAAACATACTAGTAACCACAGAGAAGCAAGAGTTAGCTAAAGAATAAAGCAAAACTTAATTAAGTAATCGGTATACACAGTATGGTAGAAAGTTGACTAGCAAAAAGAATATGTGACAGCGAGACGATGCAAAAAATGAGTTCCCCGAAACCTGGATCGAACAAGTGACCTTTCGGTGAGATGCTTAACAATTACAGCCGAACGCTCTTCCAGCTGAGCTATTCGGGGAGATCTCCGAAACCGGAGGAATAGCCATTGGACTTAGTTGGGAGAGGAAGTGTAAATTGTACCTATACCCAGCATATTTGCTTGAACACAATTAATACCATAGTCAGTTTACCCTAAGCTGGCCCAGAATGAGGGCTGAGTTCGAGAAAGGGGAATTGCAGCAAGGAAGTATTATCGCAAAGCTCGTGTCTGAGAAAACAATCGCACAGGATTAGATGAAACAAACCCCGCGTCATCCGTGTCACAATGCGACGCCTCAACACCAAGCTTGCATTTGGGGATACTCTTGCACCCACAACCCGCACGAATCTCACTGTCAGAGCCCAGCTTACCTCATTGAGAGCACAGCATCATCCAGTCCACATATACCCAACTTCCTTCGCCGATCGCCATGGCTACTCCTCTGATCACCAGAGCCATCCCCGAGTAGCTCAGCTGGAAGAGCGTTCGGCTGTAACTGTACCGTCACCGAAAGGTCACTTGTTCGATCCAGGTCTCGGGGATTCATTTTTGCTGTCATTGCAACAGAGACGTCATTGTCTTTCTGGCCCTCACCTAACAACCCTCACAGTCCTTCCAACCTCTCCCCTCTCAACCTGTTCAACTCTACCCCTAACCTTCTTCCAAACCTCTTCAGCAACCTCCTCCACACTCCCACCAGCATCAACAACAACCAGATCCTCCTCCTCCTGCGTCCAGCCCTCGCCCTCATCTAACCCAAGTCCCTGTGCCGCAACATCTTTTCCGCCCATACTGAGACCCCAGAATAATTCCCGGACACGTTTCTGCATTCCAGATCGTTCGTAAACCTCTCCACCCCAACCACCTCGAGCTTGAGCTTGCTCTTCGGTCAAATCGAGAAACAGCACAAGATCTGGTCGGGGAAGACCGCGTTCTGGTGCCCGTGCCCAAGGGAGGGTCAGAGAGGGGTTTTGCTTGGCGGCTGAGTAGACTATGCCCGAGTGATAATACCGATCACAGACAATCGTAGTACCAGAGGCGAGTAGAGATTGAATTTGTTTGCTGAACAGTCAGAAGTGAAGTGTAACAGACCAACATACTCACACAGCTTCCCATCTGTTTGCGCTAAACAAAAGATGAATAACATGATCATCCATCTCAACATCACTCTTGAGATAAGCATCGATCATCTGCCCAATAGGTGTAGTCCTGTCTATAAAATATCAGCATAATTCACCACTTTCCACTAAACTTACCAGGAAATCTCATAACCTTGACCTTTTTACCCTCCTCGACAAATCTCTGCTCCAACAGTTTCACCTGTGTAGTCTTTCCACTTCTATCCAAACCCTCCAAAACAATGAATGCGCCCCGAGTTGGACCATCCGCAGTATCAGAGCTCGCAATCGCGGCTGTAGCTAAATCGTTGATTGAAGCCATGATGGTTGATGAGGGGAAGTGGATTGCTGACGAAATATTCACACTGTTTTGGTTAGTGGTTCACGTGGGACACAGTGCGGCAGAAATCAGATCATAATTTACACTCAGTGAAACAATCAGACATTCAATAATCAATTAATACTCAGACAATAATCTAATCACAAAACTATAGCCCCAGCTCTTGGTAGCCTAAGAAGAAAAGGTAACGCCGGCCAAACTCCACCATCCGTATCCATATCCATCCATTCCATCATTCATTCCATCCATATCCATTACCATACAATTCATGACTTGTTCATGCCTCATGCCTAAACAGCTTCATCATGTGCGCTGCCGCTTTCCCATAACTCAAAACTTTCTCCTGTTCCTTCAATTGGTTCCAAAACTGCAGCCTTGCTTGAACCTTCTGTGGGCTTGGCCATTAAGCTGTCGATGTCTTCTGTTGAAGGATCGATAGGCTTTTCGGCAGTCGCAGTCGCATTCACCTCTGGCTCATCTTCAGGTACAAAAATGACTGATGTCTCATCACATCCTTCAGCGTAAAAGTCGGCAGTGTTCATTTCTCCTAATGCGACACGCTCTTTCTCAACAATCATCTCATCAGCTTTTGGTGCGCGACGAGTTTGAGAGATATCGTCAGGAGGAGGAACATTTTCCTTATCGCGACCCTCTGCACGATCTCTGTTCAGTTTTCGTTGACTTTCCTCGTCGGATGAAATGTCAAGTACACATGTGCTGTGTTGAAGAAGGTTGGTCATCTCCTGTTCGGGTGTGTCCTCGTGAATGTCAAAGAACCAGCTAGCCTTCATGTCTGGTTCATGCAAAGCAGTGATGGGTTCCTTCTTGGCGCCATAGCCAGGAATAGTACCCTTGAGAGCAGCATCGAGAGAAAAGGGAGCGGCAGGTCCAAGACTGAATGAAGGAGGATCAACACGAGTGTAGGGGCCAGCAGTGCGTCGTCGGCTAGATGCGATACCAGATCGCTTGCTTCGGGTAGGAGATCGACCTGCTGGAGCATAAATGGGAGAAGATTTTGAAATGCCAGAGCTGAGTTTGGCGGGTGATTTAGGTTGAAGTGTGCGTCGGGTCTTGGTAGGGCTCGTGAGGCGATTAGGAATGGGAGATGCAGATACAGGTGCAGTGGGCTTGAGGATAAAAGCAGACGGCTTGAGGATGCTGTCCTTTAGGATGTCCTTGTCCTTGGAACCTTTTGATCGTTTGGCAAAAGAAGTAGGATCGACATTTTCAGAATCATCGGTATCAATCAATTCAGCCTTTCGTTTACCACCAGTTGGCAAAGCTAATCATGTCAGTGAAGCCCAGACACTCCGCATCTCCACATACCATTTTGCCTATTCTTGAGACTGGTCAAGTTCTGGAGACGAGTCCCATCAAGGGGAGCAAATGGTTGACGAGTGACAGTAGCCATGATGGACCCAGCAGCGAGTGAAGTTATTGTTTATTGTTATCGCGTGAGTCGAACGTGTAAATGAGTGAAGACGATGATGAGTGAAAGTGGGAGAGAGCGGGTAGAAAAGAGGTGCCAAAGGTGGGTTCTGGTGCGGAGGGCGCGTGGAGAAGATCGGTAAGAAGGGAGCTCAGCGCGAAAGTGGGTTCTCTCTAGGGCGTCGTGCCTTGGACGTGAGCGCGGACGTGACGGGCGGCCACTAGAAGCAGGTCACTAGAATGCCTACGGAGGGCAGTGGGCCGACAGGTATGAAGCGAGAATGCAGATTCGCGACCGTGCTAATTAAGCCAGCCGGTAGTGCATGGAATTGATCTTCGATGTCCAGAGAGCATTGAACATTTCAAGATAAGGTCATCTCTGCCTGAGGTGTTTTCCCCTCAATCGATGCAAGTTGGTCACCGCTAAGCACTTTTCCATAATGATTCGCTCAATGCAACATGCCTTGGCCTTGTGGGACGTCCAAAACTCCACAAGCGTCAGCCCAGTTTGCTCCCATGTCATATCCAATCGCCGCGTTGAGCGCCAATGCAAGGGAGATGCAGCATGCAGGATGAAGCCATTTAATGTAACGCGAGTTCGTGTTCCTTGATCTGTGTAAGCCTGAACTCAATGCCCGAACTCGTCTTGCTGTTGTGCCCAGCCAGCTCTGTGCATGGCCGCCAATATGCGACCATGGTCTCATCACAACATTGACGGACACGCAAATCCAATTGGTTGTCGTCTTTCAGCTGATCTGACGATCGCCAACCAGCTATTGCCTCCACTGAAACGGGTCCCTGTAAAGTGTAACCTCAACTTGGCTTGTTGCTATTAAAGGCCAGACCACCCGCGATCTCTCGCGTCGTGTCCGTGTCGAACCCCTCTTGATGATACTTATGTGCAACGCCAATGCATCGAGCTGCAAGTCGGAGGCTGGGAGGCGGGACAGTAACATCGCTCGGCGTTTGCCACAAATTTGACCTGGTCGCATGCATAGCCTGCCAACTCAGAGACCATGTGTGACCATAAAGTCTGGACATCTTGCACCAATGCTTCAGTAACAACAGACACTACCGCCATGGTCGCATAAGGTTGCAGTTGAAGATATATCTATTGTAAGCCCCTATGAAGTGATAATACTACCGTCGCGTCTGAGGTTGAATCATAATAATATTCCACCGAATTGTCATCGTCTGGCCTCTTGACCTCGCCACTTGTTCTCGCCCGTCCTTGCTCGTCCTCACTTGTCCTCATGAAGATGGTGTGGCCCACGAGCTCCTGACCTACTCGGACCTTGCCCATCATCTTCAAGCATGTGTTGCCGTGGTGCTTTGGTCCGGATCACCGTATCATGGTGCAAATGATGAGATGAAGGAAATGCTCCCGGCGTCTTTTCGTCTTGCCGAAGCTGATGATCAGGACTAGCTCGGTATGTTTCAACTCGATCGAATCCAATGTCGTGATTGGGTTGGGTCTCATTCGTCTCGCTTGCGTCCTGAAACAAATCGTGTCGATGAACTGCAGGTGGACTGGCAGGTGCCTTTGTGTCGGTTCGAAGTTGATGAATTGAAGGAGGATACACAGGAGCAGAAGTGTCATCCTTCAATCGGTGAGGTGCGTTGGTACGGTATGGTCCTTTTGGATCTTTGGAGAGGTCATGACTGTGGTCGAGCGTTGCGTCGGTGGGCGCAACTGGATCTTGAGCGATTGATCTCTCCCGGGGCTTGCTTCGGCTGCTTGCAGATGAGGTTGAAGACGTGCACTCAGATGAACCTTCGGGAATGCATGGAAGGTTTTCATCGGGTTCCGTATCACAAGTGGTGACCTTGCTGTGCGATCTAGAAGTGTTCAAGGATGTGGTCATTGAAGGTTCGGTTTCATACCCACAGCAAGTGCGCCTCCGATGATGTCCATGATTGATGAGTTCGTGTTCGATCTGAACGAGGGTGTCGTATGGATAGCAGCAACCATATAAGTTGTCTTCATTACGGGTTCCTTCGATATTGTAGAGATCGCGAACATCTGAACGCAGTCTGGAGATCAAGATACCATAGACTAGACATGTTAGAGTGGTTGACCTGCAAAGGGACACTTACAAGGCAAGCAGGCAGCGAATGTCAAGCAGGGAGCAGAAATGGCCGGGTTCTTCAGAGGCCTCGACTAGTATTCCTCATGTGTGTCGACGATTCCTTTCTTGCTGACCTTGAATCTGACATGGCCATTTGGGGGTGAATCATATTCATACTCCCTGTTGACAGCATCATCGTAGCTCTTTTTGGATCGACCGTAAACAATGCAAGGACAGAACATTGCTTTCCATAGGACGTTGACTGGGGCGAGATCTTCATCATCGTACAGCCATTGTCCAGCGAACGGCTTCTCCATGGTGTATAGTGAAACGACAAGCGGCGATAAGGGCAAGGAAAAGAATGATGATAATGTAGTGATAAACAAGAGTGATGAAAATGATGAAGAGTTTGAGAGGACGGTGGTGCTGAGAAGAGAAGGTGTTGAGTGAAAGATGCATGCAAACGGCAGGTGAAAGCACTGTTGCGTTGCTTCCTGGAAACAGTGGTGATGCCTTCCTGAAGACACAGCAAGGTCACGGGAGCAATTGAAATGGCAGGAGCTCATCGTGAACCGCCTCAACCCTCA